GACACAGAGGAGGGAAACAGCGACACAGACAGAGGTACAGTAAAAGAAAAAAAAAAGTCAATAAGCAGGCATACCGGTCAACCTCTTCGGACGTTTACTTGTATAAAAAGCCTCAAAAATCTGTACAACTCGCGGCCGGGGGGGGCTACGGACATGAAAGTGCCCGCTGAGCAGCAGGAGGAGAGGAGAGGAGAGCRGAAAAAGTTCAAAACTTATTTCTAGCGGCAGGACAGGTTAAAAGATGGCTGTTTTATGTTGTTTATTGTTTTTTTTTTAATCATCCTACAGGCTCTGACATGTTAGATGAAATTGAAAATCACGTTTTGAAAAAATCCGTAAGACTTGAAAAGATCCGTGAGATTGGTTTGTACATTTTATTATCAGCTGAGCTGTGATGAAAAGAAAAATACCGTCAAATACCGTGAAACCGGTGAAAATGTTGAAAATACCGTGATATAAAATTTTGATCATATCGCCCACCCCTAGTCTTGGTGATAAATCTTATACCTTTGGAAAGTCTGTTAAATCCCCCTTTAAATGGTGCCACATTTGTAAGGAACATGTGTTTGTGGGTTGAGCAGTATAGCTGAGTGTGTGGGTTGCACACATAAAGAATTAGCCTAATCTTCTCTGCCAAACAGCTTATTCTGCTTTTGCTATTGACACTTGTTTCAAGCTTCTGGTGCCCCAGGTGCTGCCAGTCATGTGATTTATTGCCAAGAAGCATTGTTACAACAAATGAATAATCACCAAACACAAGTTGACTTTCTTGTTGTGCTAAGTCTACTTCAGTTTTGGATAAAACAGGACTTACCTTGTCTCAATCACGTGTGAACACTGCATGGTTTAGGACACAAGCACTTTTGTGGTTGAAGACACTCAATATTCCCTGCCCACTCTCCTCACTATTCAGTTCTAGAATAAGTTTCACATTGCTGCAATGACTTTACACACTTTGTTCACGTGTGCAGCACTTCTTATCTTTTTACTGAGTGCTTTCGTGAGACCAGTTGATTATCCTACCCCTTGCTGCTCTTCTTGCTCTGCCTTCATCAGCCTCAGGAGTCTTGAATGCTCCTGCTCCTCCTCCGCCTCCTGAAGTCAGTAAAAATCCACCAGAAACTTGTGTACCTGCTCAAGAGGTGAAACTTGGAGAAGATCACCCTCTGGCTTTTTGTGATCAAACCAACACTGCTGCTGCAACTCGAGGAGTGACTGAGCAAACAGATGGGAGCGGCCTCAGTGCAACACCCATCTCCCAGCCTGGATCAGCTGCTGACTCAGCAGAGGCCTCTGCTGGTCTCCCAGCCCATAAAGAGCATGTCTCTTCTGTTGAGGCTCCCGTTGACTCACTGGGCCAGCAAACTGTCATCTCTGAAGACAAATCAAGCAATTCTTTGATTGCAGCCGCAGAGTTGACCTGCCAAGAAGTGGAGCATGTTTCCGTTGATGCAAAGGCCCTTGGAGAAGAGCCAGAAGCAACAGCAGCAGAAAAAACTATTGATCACAAACAACCGGCCCCCAAAAATGTGGACGAAGACGGCAAAGATGGGTTGACAAGTGATTCAGTTAAGAGCTCAGTAAACGCAGCTGAAGATGAAATACAGTTTGACGTGACTTCTAAGAAGGGAAATCTTGACGAGACCTTTCAATCTAAGGAAACAACTAAGTGTAAGATCCCTCTTACCACCTGCCACCTCACAGGTTGGTTTGTGTTCAAACCCAGTGCTATCTACGTCCTGTTTATAATTTGACAGATGTGCAGTTTGAGTCTGCTTCCTCATTTGATTTTGTCCAGGTAGATTGTGCTGTAAAACTATAAATGTCTTTCTTGAACGCAAGTCTTAGTTGCAATTCCTTTCCATTTTACATATTCACTTAGTTTTAACAGATGATTCCGAGCTTTTCATTGGTGTAGTAATTTAATCATTTTAATGGGGACATTCGCAAAATCCACTTTTAGCTGCTAAATGCATTTTGTTGTGCATTTGGAGTCTCCAGGAGTGCCAAAAAGTTGAATTTAGTTTCACCCTGTGCTGCGTAGATATCTATATTCTTTCTGGATCATATTTTTCAGCTTGTTCCGTTTTTTTCTGTATTCTATGATGTTTTCTGAACTTCACGTCAAATTATTTTGGACAAAACTGCCAAATTAGATCTGGACAGTTTTGTCGTCTTCATTCTCCTCTCACTCTGGCTCCAACATGTAAGGCTGGATGGACAAGTCTTCCCTTGTTGACATCAGTTAATTGTAATTAAAATGTTTCTGCACCACTAGATAGATGTTAATAGCCTATATGCCATGGACTTCCGATTCTAGCACGTCCGCAATCATTGGCCCCGCACCGGTCTTCTGGTTCGCAGGCAACACTGTGTTAGTAACAGATTTTATTCACTCAACAACTCTTGAAGATCTCCACAGTACAGAATGAGCATATTACATGTACCAACATTAACACAGGAGACTTACAGGCCCAGCCAAGTAAAAAAAAAAATCACTCCAAAATGGATTTTTTTTGTTGGGAGGGGGGGGTCTACGCTGTAGTATACACTCTAAAGTTTTTACTTTTACATAAAATGCATGAAAATGTTGCCTAAAATAATTTCATACTCTGTATAACACAAACGCGTGCACACACACATGCGCGCCTACCTTTGTACTGGCTGCTGTGTTAGCTTCCTCGTAGCTATCCTCTGGAGGTGGTCGTTCCTCTCTTGTCTTGGCAGTAAAGGGGGATAAATGTACAATTCCCTTTTGTGACCTCCGTCTTCTCATTTCTGACGCAGGCTCTTGAATATCCTCAGTTTAGAAATGCTGATTACAAATGCGAGCGTGAGCTTTTATAGCTAAGTTTTTCCTGTATTGCTATGATCAATCGCTGTCACCTTTCCTCCTCGTCAACTTGAGGAAAATGGGAAGTGGAAGGGAGGTGCGGGGCTGAAATTTTAACGGAAGTCTGTCATCAATGGCCGTGGCATATAGGCTATTCTTCTGTCAAACTGGAACGATCCAGTCTGGAGGCCGGAGGGCAGCAGAGTGTGAAGCACCTCATTTGAATTTAAAGGAACAGCAGTAAAGTAGCAGTACGAGCTGCTTTGAGACACACCTGGGTTGATGTCAGATTTACCAACAAGTTTTATGGAGGCTCTTTTTCAAAATGTCTGCAATCAATTACTATCTGAAATATATGCTTCAGATATCAAAAATTTATGACTAGGCAAATAAAATTTCAGATCTTATTTTTCCTAATATTCATAATTTAATTACATCAGGTTTGTAGATACAGCAAATAAAAGTGTTCTCTGCTGTTCTCGGCACATTTCTATTAATCATATCAATATCAAAATTGTATCAAATTTACCGAAATTAGGAATTATATAAATTTTAGCCATATTGTTCAGCCCTGTTTGTGACGTACAGTATCATCATTGTTTATTTTGCAATGGTGATATCTGTTGCAATAAACCCATTATCTTCACTACTTATTTTGTCATTACTGTTATTTGAACCATGTGTGGACACTAAGGCCAGTTTGTCTGTTGTATTGACCAAATATCTTATCATGCAGAAAATAATGCCCAATTTCTTAAATATGATAGCCTATGATTTATTACGGTCCCTGGTGATATTATGGATGAAATAACAAATCTGCAATATATTGTGCAGCCATGGTTTTTATTACGTATTTCATGAATGTTTTTATGCATTGCAAGTACAACTTACCTTTGCTCAAAGTGAATTATAACTAAATGAAGAGGAGTTTTCTGTGTGAAAATACTGTTTTATGCATTTTGTGAAGCAGTTTGCACCCAAACATAGGAAGGTGTGGTGTTGTTTTTTTTCCTAACCTAAGCACGGGGAGCACAATTTTTGGTTTGCAAACTTTTGACCAGCATGACTAAGACTTTCACCACTGGATTGAAGATTTTTTAAAAATTATTTTTTCCTGTTCAGCTACACCTCCTGCCCCAGCTTCATCCCAACAACCTCAGGCAGCTTCTGGGTCTGTAAAGCCCAAAGGCAAAGATGCCAAGAGTCCGCAGGGCTCGTCTGCCCCAAAGGCTGTTCCCGGCAGAAGAAAACGCTCCTCTATGTCTGCCTCTTCCTCTTCGCCCACCTCCCCAAAATCGACCCCCTCTTCTACTCCTCGCTCACCTGTAGCTTCTCCACTGGCTTCCCCTGCTGGTAGTTCTGATGCTAATCAGGCTAGTCGCCCTACCCCAAAAGTTGTCAAGGCAGGCAAACAGGGAAAAGCTAAAAAAGGAGAAGCATTTCTGCCTCCACCTACTCAGGTGGACAGCAAAGTCACTGGTGTAAATGAAAAGGAAGAAGAGGGTAACTTTAAGAAACCTGCATCTGCTGAAGCTAAAGCTGCCCCAGTTGAGACAAAAGCTCATCCACCAGCGCCTGTTGCAGCTCCTGTGGCATTTAAAGTTACCTCAAAGCCTGCGGTTGCAGCACCAATTTCATTTTCAGATGCAATTGCTTCAAGCCCTCCAAAATCAGGTGGCAAGGTGGCTTCATCAAAAGCAGCTCCTGTTATGGCTGTTGCTGATGATGACCTCCCTCCGCTTATCCCACCTGTGAAGCCTGGTAAAGTGCCTGTTGTGCCTTCTGTTGATAAACAGAGTGCAAAACCTACTGCTTCTGCTCCTGAGCCTAAAGCTCAAGTTTTGTCCGCTGCTCCAGCCAAGAAAGGCACTGAACCCAAACCTATACCTGCTGAGGCTGTCAAAGCAGCAGCCCCAGGTAAATCTGCAGTTGAGGTTGCAAAAACGGCTCCTACCGAAGTTTTCAATGCTCCCAAGGGCAAGCCTGCCCTTGGTAATAATGCTCAGGACAAACCTGGAGCAGCTAAACCAGTCGATGAGACCAAATCGATTTCTAAAACTGCTGCTAAACAAGTTGAGGAAACTAAGGGTTCATCTCCAAAGGTTACTAAGCCTGATGCTGTGGTTAAAAAGTCAGCACCTGAAAAGGATGCACAGGTTGCTGCAGAGGCTAAATTGACCGAAGTTAAAGCAGTGTCTGCTGTGTCACCTAAAGCTGCCAAGTCTGCTGATAAGGCTGCATCTAAAGCTGCTGAGGTGACACCTAAATCAGCCAAGCCAAGTGATGTTAAAAGTTCATCACCTGAAAAAGATGCAAAAGCTAAATTAGTTGAAGTTAAGGAAGTTAAAGCAGTGTCTGCTGAGGCTCCTAAAGCCGCCAAACTAGCGGCCGAAGCTGCACCTAAAGCCGGCAAAGCAGCGGCCGAGGCTGCACCCAAACCAGCAACCGAGGCTGCACCCAAAGCCGGCAAACCAGCGACCGAGGCTGCACCCAAAGCCGCAAAACCAGCGGCCGAGGCTGCGCCTAAAGCTGCAAAACCAGCGGCCGAGGCTGCACCCAAAGCTGCAAAACCAGCGGCTGAGGCTGCGCCTAAAGCAGGCAAACCAGCGGCCGAGGCTGCGCCTAAAGCAGGCAAACCAGCGGCCGAGGCTGCGCTTAAAGCTGCAAAACCAGCGGCCGAGGCTGCRCCYAAAGCMGSMAAACCAGCRGCCGAGGCTGCGCCTAAAGCAGGCAAACCAGCAGCCGAGGCTGCGCCTAAAGCAGGCAAACCAGCAGCCGAGGCTGCGCCTAAAGCAGGCAAACCAGCAGCCGAGGCTGCGCCTAAAGCAGGCAAACCAGCAGCCGAGGCTGCGCCTAAAGCAGGCAAACCAGCAGCCGAGGCTGCGCCTAAAGCAGGCAAACCAGCAGCCGAGGCTGCACCTAAAGCCGCAAAACCAGCGACCGAGGCTGCACCCAAAGCCGGCAAACCAGCGGCAGAGGCTGCACCCAAAGCCACCAAGCCAAGTGATGTTAAAAAACCAGCACCTGATAAGGATGCTGAGGCCAAATTGATTGAAGTCAAGGCCGTGTCTGCTGAGGCATCTAAAGCAGCCAAGCCAGCTGTGGAGGTTTCATCTGCTCCCATTAAACCTCCAGTTGAGCCAACCATTCCTCCTCCAGCTCCCCGTAAACTCACTTTTGCTGAGGCAGTTGCAAAGCCTGCACCTGTCAAGCCTGAAGTTGAGAAAATTGATACTACTCCCTCAAGTCTTGTTTCAACTCCTAAACCTGTGCCCACACCTGCTAAAATCCCAGACAAGGTGGAGGCTGTGATCAAGAACGACGAGGGTATTTTCTTCTTCCTTTCTTGTGTGTGTATGTCCATGTACCAGTGTTTTCTTTTCCTAGCAGCCTTACATGTTGAAAATTTCATAGACGCCTAAAGGTTTATTTCTTGTTGTAAAAGTCGAGTTTTTACAGTACAAAACGGCTTTGGTTTTTAATTTTAACTGTTGTAGCTGCTTTGGATCATCTGTTCCTGGTTTGATGGTTAGTTTTACTTTTGGGTTCTGGCTTTCACATAGTGGAAGTTTTGCTAGTGTATAATTACATGCTCTTCTTTTTATGGACTTGGTGTAAGTGACTTGTCAGTCTGCTATAGATGAAAAATGAAGTGGGTATTGTGTTAAGTAGTTTCTTCCATCAGGGGCTCTGTTGTAGGGTTGTAATATGCTTTATTTATTGCATAAGTCTTGCTTATTTTCAGGGTGAGCTTCAGGTGTGTTTTTATTTAAATTGTTTTTTTTTTTGTCCATTTGTGGCTTTGCAGGATCCGGCACAGAGTCGGACAGCGATGACTCCGTTCCTGAGCTGGAAGAACAAGACTCTGCACAGACACAGACACAACAAGCCCAGGTAAGTCTGATCAGGGACATCAGGTTTACTGGTGTGGCTTTAGATCAGACATCCTGTTCAGAGGATGTTGGTCTTTGACTTTTCCATGATGAGTAACACAGTGACTTTCGTTCTTCTGAGCCTATTGAAGCCAATCTTTGTGTCCTGAGAAGAAATGTTTATTGTATTAAAACTTCAAATAGTCTGTCTCTAAATGCGTTTGCTAACTTACAACACATCTTGTCTCATAGCTTGCAGCAGCTGCTGAAATAGACGAGGAACCTGTCAGCAAAGCCAAACAGAGCCGCAGTGAAAAGAAGGCACGAAAGGTAATAATCAAGACTCACTGGGTGTTATAAAACAAAACAATTATATCTGAAAATAGAAATACTCAAACTTGTTTTTCCTTTTAACAGGCCATGTCAAAGCTTGGTCTCAGGCAGGTCACAGGGGTCACCAGGGTCACTATTCGCAAATCAAAGAACATCTTGTTTGTCATCACTAAACCAGACGTATACAAGAGTCCTGCATCAGACACATACATCGTCTTTGGCGAAGCTAAGGTACTGTGAAGATACTCCTGACCTCTTGTGTCATCTTAGCTTTCCATAAGACAAAAAAAAAAACACATTACACTCAAGGATTCGTCTAATGGCGTCTTTGAAGTGTTAATACCAAATCATGTATTGATGTTTTCTGATATTTTTGTGCCACAGATTGAAGATCTTTCTCAGCAAGCTCAGTTGGCTGCTGCAGAAAAGTTCAAGGTACCAGGAGAGAATGTATCAAACATCCAGGACAACACACAGACGCCCACAGTACAGGAGGAGAGCGAAGAAGAAGAGGTAACAAGAGATTTTTATTCAAATAGAATGAACACAACTTCAGTTGTGAGAATGGTGGTTAATTTTCACATTTATGAATTTTCCAGGTTGATGAGACCGGAGTGGAGGTCAAGGACATTGAACTCGTCATGTCACAAGCCAACGTGTCGCGGGCAAAGGCTGTACGCGCCCTGAAAAACAACAACAACGACATTGTCAATGCTATTATGGTGAGATTCTGTTTATTATATACAAGATATTTGTATTCAGTCAAACATTGTAGGTGGTTTACCAGAGACAAATATGAAAACTCTTCTGTGATGATGAAATACAGTGACTTTCGTTCTTCTGAGTTTACTGAAGCCAACATTTCTGTCCTGAGAAGAGAGAGAAACTCTGAGAAACTATATATAT